AAACTTCTGAATGGCAAGTTACGAAATTTGACAGATAATGTAGTGTATAGTTTAGATCCTATATTATCTGTTCTTTTCAACCTATCAGCTGTATTTTTTGTATCCTGTTAGTGAATATCCTTGTGAGCAACTTCATTCACAAAGTTCTGATGAACAAGAAGTTTCATGAACAATAACTAAATATTGGGTCATTGTTTTAAGTTTTACAAATATTGGTGGACACTTTTCATTGTAATTGGCAGAGATTATTCTTCTTACTGCAGATTTTTGAATAACAAATAGGTAGACGTACCTTTGATGCATTACTACAAGAGATTATGCTATACCTAAGGACTGAGTGAATAGTCGGATTAGGGAATGAAAATTAAGATTTCATAATGTAGGTATACATAAACTTAGAAATATTTTTGAAAACACTTATTTTTCAAATCAGGCAAAATGAAATATTCATATAAATAATTTGATTTATCTAATCATGCGGAACGTACTCGCAAAAAGTGTCAAACAAGAATTATATTACCTATGTTACCTGTTCAGAACTCTCATGAATATCTTCCTTCTTAATCACATATCGACTTGGAACTGAAAGCTAGCGAAAGTTTAATACCTCTTATTGAATTTGAACATAGCATGTCTCAAAAATCACCATACAAATTATATTAAGAACACTCATCATCTTGAATTTAAGATAGTGGCAATTCTTTTGAATGAAAATATAAGGAGATGCACTAGTAGAGGTATTATGGCTACTATAAACATATATATGAACATGAATTAGATATAGAGAGAAATTCAGATTTCAGAATATAAAATTTAATCACACAATCACAGAAAATTTACACAAGCAAAATAAATTAAATAGCATTTTAGCGAAATACTGGAAATATCCTTCAGTACGGTTGGTACCTTTGGCCATAGCCCCCAAAAGCAGCTCCTTCATAGTAGTCAAAAGCTGGTCCGTATCCACCGGCATTTTCATAGCCGCTGCCGAACCCTTGTTGGCTATGATTAAAACCCGGTCCTCCAAAACCCCCTCTGCCACCTCGGCCTCCCCGCACACCACCGCGTCCTCTTTGCATACCACCGCGGCCTACTTGCATACCACCGCGGCCTACTTGCATACCACCTCGCGCTCCTCGTCCTCCCATCATTGGTCCACTCATTTGATTAGAATTGGCTCTCTTCACATCGACTTCTTTACCCTTAATTGTTTGTTTCGGATTTTTAATCAAGTCTCTAACTACTTGTTCGGATTCGAAAATTATGAAACAAAATCCTTTTCTTTGGTTTTTTACCTTGTCGAACGGCATCTGAGTGTCCGCTATGGTTCCAAACTGCGCGAAATGAGATTTGATGTCGTCATCGGTGAGATCAGCCGTTAATCCACCAACAAAGATTTTGCCCTGTCTACCCTTCGCCTTTTTGGGGTCAACTTTTTTGCCGTTGATAATATGATCGCCGGCTACTTCAACTTTGCTCAGTGCTTCAACCGATTTGAACACGATGAAAGCGAAGCCTCTTGACCGTCCCGTAACGGGATCTGTTGTGATTTTGATATGTTCAATCTCACCGTACTGTCCAAAGTGCTCACGTAATTCTTTTTCACCGGTTTGGAAATGCATTTCTCCGACGAATAATTTTCTGGCGTCAGCATTACCACCATCGACTGTCGGAGGGTCACTGGAAGCAGGAATATCTGAACTAACAGAAGCAGGAATATCTGCGTTAACAGAAGCAATATCTGCGCTAACAGAAGCAATATCTGCGCTAACAGAAGCAATATCTGCGCTAACAGGACCAGGAATATCTGCGCTAACAGGACCAGGAATATCTGCGCTAACAGGACCAGGAATATCTGAGCCACTAGTATCACATTGGAAATCGCAGTTTTGTTGAACTTGTTCAACGGAAGGCATATTTTGTTCGGCATCCATGGTCTAAGATTATGTTGGAGAAATACTTGACTGTGAACTGTAAACTTAACTTCACCTCAGACTGGACAAGATATACCGGACACTACAATGAAAATATAATAAAGTTACGTGCTTTATACGAATTNACTCAGTTACAGATTTTGAAGCATGATATTTGAATGTATGACTTTCGCTCGCCACCTGGTTGGCAATGATGCCAACGTTGGTCAAATGTTCTCTAGACTTCTTAATAATAATAATAATAATAGTTCCCATTTACAGGACAATATAAAATTATATTTACAATACAACCATAAACAACGAAAAATAAAATGAACAAAAAAAAAACTAATTCTAATTACTTACTTCAAGTACATGTTTGCAATTCTAATAATGTTATGGAGGTTAGTGGGAACATATGCTATTGAAATTCATACACATAACATATATTGGATAATGAAGCATAATGTTAATTCTTGCTCTGAGAGGTCTAAAAATTGATTGAGATCGTGAAGCTGGCCGTGGTACATTGAAGTTAATTTTTTTCAGAATTTTAGGACAGTCAACTCTCTCATTCACTAATTTGGAGCGACGCATATTTTCTGCAATGCTCTAAACTAAAAATTTTCAAACGTTCATGTATAACATCATTACTGATACCTCTCTCAGGGTAAGAACCCTCTATTCTGAAAACTAGAAATTTACAAAACTTTCTTTGAACTCTTTCAATGGCTATATTATGAATCTCATAGAATGGACTCCAGACGATACTTGTATATTCTATCTTCGAACGTACGTAGGTGAAACACAACAGCTTCATAGCTTTAATATTATGAAAGTTTCTGCAATTTCTAACAATGAAGCCATAAGCTCTCAAAGATTCTGAAACTTTTTGTGAAATATGTCTACCAAATGTTGATTTATGGTTGAATATTGAAAATTGTTGTCAAGAATCGGACCCATTTTGAATTGAATAGGGGCAAATTAACGATTTTTTTGAATTTCGTAAAAATGCTGACCAAAAACTAACGAAATTTCTCTTCGAATGATACCACGTATTAAGGTCCTCTCCAGAAAGGATACTGATATTTGAGATTGAAAGGGACCTTCAAGACTGAACTCAATTTTCTAAACATTAAATTTTTTAATGTTTTTGCCACTGAAATTCAAAATGTAGTAGGATAGATAGTATAGATTACATATATATGCTACTGCATATGAGAGCGTTTCAAATGACTGGTTCACATGTTTCCAAACGTGTTATTGTTGAAATAACCACGAGAACTCATTAAATTTTCATTATCTAGAAAAATTTGCGACTTTTTCAGACGAATACATAACAAGTTGCACAATATTTATGAAAACTCGAAGATCATAGACAAGATATACCTAGTTGTTTGTAACATAGTTGAAATCTATTGACAATAGATGATTTTTTAAAGAGAAATTTCAGTTGATGAAAAATTGGCGATTTTTTTTTCTGGTAAATTGTTACTCTATTTTCAAACTATCATTAAACAGTATAAGAAATATTTTTTATCGCGATGGCAGGTTTCGATGCAGAATTATGGTATAACATTATTTCGCGGAACCCTATTTCCAACAATATATGAAAAGTTCCAATCATATTCTTCAGACGGCATTTTTTGTGTAGGACTCAATATTTTATAATGTTCTTTTTGGGTTTATAACCTTTTACAATCTGAAAAGTTACTGCTTAACTGACTTGTGTCAGAAGAAATTAGAACTATCAGTTTGAGGCGAGATTTTCGTAGTGAATTTCAGGTTTTGAAAACGGAAAAGAATTGTTTTCCAAAACTATTTAATTTTTTCAATTGTTTTTTTCAATGTGTAGGCAAAATTTATGAATACGACAAGTTACTGACTAGTTGGACTTTCCAGTAGTTTATATTACACAGTAATTTTACAGGGTGAACTTTTCAGTTTGCCCTTTACTACTACACTTCAGCAGATTCTCTATTGATGTAGCTTTAATATTTTCTGACTATGGAAGGTTATGAACCCAAAAAAACAGTATACAATTCCAATCGTAGTTACGAATTTCCATGAGTCAATATTTTTCAATGAAATTTCCTTTACTTCACGTACGGAGGTCATTGGTATCTGGACTTTTACTTATGTTATGGCTAAATCAAATTAGTAAATTTTATTCAGGTAAGCATAATGTACAATATGAATTTAAAATTAAAACAAGATAACTTGACAAACTAGAAGAAAAAAAGGAAAGAACTACTTGAACTACTGTTAGTCCAGGCTGAGCTACCTAAGCTATGCTTGTGATGTAGACATCAACCTGGGTTACATTGATTATTCACTTAATGAGTGGTGATGAGTAGAAAGAAGGAATTAAAAAAAGTTACATTCATTGTGAGGGAGAGAGAATATGGTTATTTGTTTGTATTTTGTTTTCTTATTATTATTCGAGTTCATATACAGTTTTCAGTTTGTTATAATTTTGGTTCACATATTCTTTCAGTTTTGATTTCATTTTACGTTTATTAGGAATGACTGATTTCTAAAGGGACTAGGTTTAACAATTTTGGACCAAAATATGATATAAATTTTTGTATGTGTTAGTCTACAAAGGGAAACATTTGTTTTCTGCTCAGATTTAGTACGTGTGTTGTGAGTATGACTTATCTGAGTGATGGAGGTATTTTGCATCCATATTAAGCATTGATAGGTATAGAGTTTTACATCAAATAAGCCAGTTTCTTTGTAAAGGTCTTCAGTTGAGTACCTTCTATTTTTCTTAAAAATTATTTTTATTATGGTATTTTGCATAACCTGTAGACCGTGTCCCATATAATGATACTGTACCTCAATAAAGATTCAGCGACTGAGTTGTAAATCGTAAGTAAAAGATTTTTATTATTCAGATTTCTGATTTGATAGAATTTATAAACTATCTTATTGAATCTCTTTACTGTGTTATCAATGTGTTCTTCCCGTCGCAGGTGTTGGTCCACATATACGGCCAAATACTTCATGTTGTCAACTTTTTTAATTATTGGACATGAACACTGCGTTGGGGTTCAGCATAGATACTTATGAACAGTGAGAGTGTTATTTAAGGGTTGCTCTTTTTTTGTTGTGGTGAATGTGAATGCAATGAACTTATTTTTTCCCACATTCAGACTCAGGAGGCGCATATTCAACCAAGAGACTACATATTTGAGCCCTGTTTCAGCTTTCTCATAGACTTCATCCCAGGAATCACCTTCAAATAAAAGTGCTGTATCGTCTGCGTAAGATATTATTCTGCCATTGATATTATGAAGTTTATAAAAATTGTTAGTATAGATCTAAAATAAAATAGGACCCAGCACTGTCCCCTGAGGCAAGCCCATGTTGACAGGTAGTGGATCGCTGAGGGTACTGTTTATTTTAACTTTTTGATTTCTAACAAACTGCATAAAAATTGGTGCTGCTGAATTTCCAGTGTACTTTTTGTAAAATCTTTTAGAAGGACTCGAACATATTCGACATTCTTTCTGCTAATATTATTTTAAAATTTCTTTGAACTACAATAAAAATAGGTATAATCCCTTATTGCTTAGGATAATTACTTCACTGACAGAAAGTTCTGCACAGTTCATGGAATTGTTAATGCCAAGGGATTATATTCCTGACCTGACCAATTTCCAACCAGGGGTTAATCCGGGATTTGGTTTTAAGGGGGTTCGATATCCCTTAATATTCTTTGAAAAGCTGAAATTTGGGAAACTTTAATTCTTGCTCTTCAATCCCAATACATTTGAATATCCCAGAAGAAAGGTCTTGTTTGTTGAAAATTATTGAAAAACCATCGACGATAAAAATATTTTATTAAAAGAAAATTTCTCGTCGAGAAAGTACATCTAGAGATACAAAAATCATACAAGAAAAACTTTTAAGTTCATTTCTCGTAAAATGAGCCTGTTGAGAACTTTTTTTTTAGAGCTCAACCCTAGGAAGTTATCAACTCGTTGAATTTTTGTGGAATTTGAATAATTCAAGATTCAAGCAATAACAAAATTTACGAAATTTGACGCATTTTCATAAAAATTAGAACGTACAATTTAATTGCATACTTTTGTTTTTATTATAGAGAATCAATGCGCANACCTTTAGGAAACAAATCTGCAGTGAACTCAAAAAAATTACCCATGTCGATTTGTATAATCAACCATTCATTTGTTTCATCGAATGTGGATGATATCACTGGAGAATCGAATAGTAAAAAATTTATCGGTTCGTGAGCATTGAACGTGGAACTTTAAGTTCGACAAAAACATAAAAAATGAAAGACATTCAACAATCTTAGTAGTTATTTGGCGGAATATTTGAAATGTCTAAATAAGAAAAATATTTTGAAATTGCCATGACCAGGCCAAAGTGAAACCAAATTTTGGGAAGTTAGTATAGTAGTAAGGTAATTGAAAAAAATTTTGAATATTAAAATGAGAAAAGACTGACTCAATAAAAAACTATAGTTCTCGTCACTATGTGGGAAAGTGAAAACTGTTTCTTTTATCCAAAAGTAGTAGATACGTATAAAGAAGCTGAGACCTTTCACGTCCCTACTAGAATTAATTCAGAGAGGATCCTCATAATTGTTGCGTCATTTCTAAATTTTTCAATGGATTGATTGATACGATTCAAAAACGATAAAAAAACACAAAAATAAAATTTAAAAGACTGAAATCAGCAAAGTATTGGAAAATAACGAAAGTGTAACTACTTAACCATTTTAGGGAATATAGAGAATATATTACATAAAATATCGAATATATAGAGACTTTGCGATAACTATTGAAAGTTCCCATAACAAAAATATACTTACAGCATCCAACGCTTTTTGATTTTTTTATTCGTCTTTAGAAACAGTTTTCAAACACGTCAATACAGTTTCCAAAAAATGCTTGAAGATTCATTAGATTTACAAAAAAAATTGAAGATTGTAAGATAAAATTCCAATCTAATAACAATTGACTAAAGTGTAAAGCCATGAGTATTTT